CCTATGTCACCTACCAAAATTCCATGTATATTTTTGCTATCTCTGATCATTTGAGCCAAGGGTTCGATGCACATGGCGAAGAGAGCAGGTGATAGTGGATCCCCTTGGCATGTTCCCCTCTTGAGAGCAAAAAACTCTGATGTGTATCCATTAACTCTAACTGCAGCACTTGGCTCTGAATACAGTATACAAATCGACTCAATAAAGTTTCGGCCAAATCCTAGACGAGTTAGAGTTTGGAAAAGAAATCTCCAAGAGAGACAATCAAACGCTTTTTCCGCGTCTGTGTTTTTCAGTTTTTGACATAGTTTAAAAATGCCTGTTGCTCTTTACACTATGTGTAAATTTCATGATTAATGGACCAAAAGAAACAGCCCAAAATGACTTGGAAAAAATGTGCGCGCGCGCGTGTGTGTGTGTGTGTGTGTTCAGAAAAATAAAATGTTATGATGCACATCATGTATCGAGAAAATGCCTTGAATTATCATGATTTTGCCATATCACCCACACCTAGTGACTGTGTATTGTGTATGATTGTGTATTCTAATGATTAAGCCATGCAGTCCAACTGTTTGAACACCAAAGTTTGCAAACGATTAGCACCAATAAGCAACTCGCTCCAGCTCTAGTGTCGTTAGTAAGTTGTGCACCAACGATTACTGTCTTCATTTTTCTGCATTCGAATTTTGCTCCGAATATCGTGCGAATACCGAATCAGATCTTGTATCGTTAGACCTCATTTAAAGATGCAACAAAGTCTTTTCTACTTTCATCCATAATCGATGTTCCTTGGAGAGGAGGGAGCGACGTCAGCCTTCAAAGCTGCTGCGGGATGACGGAGGTCACACTGACCTTGACTCCGAGCGCTTCTCTCCAGAGGGCTCAGAGCTAAAGTCTTCTTCAGAGCTCGCTAGTGACTCATACGGCTCGCGTCGCCCGTCAGTCCGCTGAGACTGGCTTGTAGTGCCGCCGAGTGGCGGAGCGGCGTTACTGCAGCAGGAGGCTCAGAACACGCTGTACGGAACATGCAGAGCGAGGTAACCAGGTGGGTGGGGAGGATGTTGCCTAGATACCAGACCCTCAGAGAGTCTGAGAGTGGGTGAGAGAATCTAAAATGCCACGGAATACTCAGATTATCTGTGGAAAAAACAGCGCAGCGCCCTCACAACAATGTTAGAAACAAAGCTTAGCTCAAACGACGACTCGGTATTAATGCTCTTGTTTCGCTCTACTACTAAACACTTAACCTGTCATACTACCTCAGACACAACGCAGACTTATTAACATCAGAGCTCCAGTGGAAAGAATAACACCATCCGCTGATTAGTGGAGTCAGCCATGTTTGACTCCAAACTTTCCACTGTTCCTATTCCCCTGCACACAAGATTTTCCGTCATTACTTAATGGCGCTGAGACTGCTCCTTGTGCACATATCAGCCAGAGGAGAAAAAGGGAAAGCTTTAAGTGGCGCCATTAACAGAGGCACTGACAGGCAGAGCTTAGTGAAGAATGATACTGGTGATGTCAGGACCTAAAACAACTATATCTGCAGTTATACCGCCCTAGCCTGAGGACAGAGGAAGAGTTCAGCTGTAGCCTCATGCATACTTTCATAATTACTTTTATGCTGCATCCCCAGAACTAGGATGGATTCTCTAATAGATGACTGCTTTGCTGCTGCTTCAGATGCTCTCCGGACAGGCAGAAACAGGTTGCATGGGATCTTCCTTATATAACAGTTGATAAAGTACATGAGATTAGATGTATAGTAGTAGGCCCAACTCTAAGAGTGCTGTAGTGTGCCTGCACAGTGAAGAGCTTGAGTGTGGGATGATAGGCATCACTTTCCATGAATGTACTTTTCCAGTGTACTGGAAGGGACACATATAAGTCAGACTGAAGCTGTTAGGCTACGAGTAAGCCTACTTGCCATCAACTCCACATCATGAAATAGTCCATGGAAGCCTTCTACAACAGTACTCCTTCTCTTAAAGAGGAATTCCACCATTTTTTAAAAAAATATCTGATTAACAATCTTTGAGATGTAAACATTCATACTGGTTTTATGTGAAACGGTTCATTTGTAAAGAAACTTACAGGCTTCTCTACAGTGGTGTTGCTAGGAACCAGGGGTCTCAATGTCTATAACACAAATGTAGCCATTTTTTTACTTTCCAAAACCACCAGTGAACCTATATGTGTCTTCTGTTTTTTATAAGTTATGTTGATGATGATGTTTTTTGGGGACTATTCTGCTTCATAACATAGCCCTCCAGCATTAAAGGTTTAAAATAACTGGATTTAACAATGTCTCAGACATCAGGCAGCATATACCTAATCATTCCATGTAATGACTTTCCATTAGGGACCTTTTAGAGGTGGATGTCTGTTTCCTATCTCCACCACTGTGAACTGTTCTGACTTGGAAAGTTTCTCTAGAACAGAGCATTTCACACCAAGCCACTCTCAATGCCTTTGTTTACGTCTCATCTGTTTAATTAAAATTTGGTGGAGTTCCCCTTGAAGGGATAGCCTGATTCCCTACCAGACATCTTGGTGTCATGAGTTTCACAGATTTAAGAGCGAGGCTAAAACAATAAGAATCAGCAGGTGTGAAATGCACTTTGAACCTTGTCATACCAGTAATTTCTTACTGTTTTAACTTTAGAACAGCATGGGTAAGCAATGGACATGTTATGCTACAGAACATATGGGATGATAAACTGATGACTAGACTCCTTCTAATTATAAAATAGATTTTAAAGTCAGTTAAATAAATCTACAGTGTAGAATTTACATTAGCAGTGTTCCAAGCAAGTCAAGTAGGACACAAATGAGCACTGTAAGAGGTCACTCAACACTGCAAGTGTTAATTCTACACTGTAAGAGGTCATTCAACACTGTAGGTGTTAATTTGACACCTTAAATGGTCATTCAACAGTGTAGGCATTAATTATACACTGTAAGGGATCATTCAGTGCTGCTGGTGCTAATTCAGCACTGTAAGATGCCATCCAGCACTGTAGGTGTTGAACACTGAACAGCTTCTTTGTTGTAATTATGAACTGTTTTTCTCAAATATTTGCAAATGTTGAATTAAATGACTCAAATTTTCATTGTCTATTTTTAAACATGGAACTACTGTTTTGCTGGGGCAATTTGTCTGATATAACTTGTTCTTAAACAAACAAAAAACTGTGATATATATATATATATATATATATATATGTATATATATATATATATATATATATAAATATATATATATATATAAATATATATATATATATATATATATATATATATATATATATATATATATATATATATATATATATGATGAAAGTGTCATGCTGTGATGTATTTGCCATGTTGCCCACCCCAGTCTTCTTTTATGTCTAGGGGACAGATTACTGGGCAGAGCCAGTTTCCCAAAAGCATCTTACTCTTCTTTACACTTCGATGTGTGTAGGACTGCTTCTGTTTTAGCTCTCTGACCAGGTTTGGTTTGAAAGAAAAAGAAAAGAAAGCATGATTTAAGTTTGTCTTTAGCGTACAAATCTTCACACAAAAACTGTTACTCTGTAGACACAATAGTATATTGCAGATTATTAAAAGGCTAGGTGTGTTTATTTTTTTAAGAGATTAACAAATGTGCTTTGCTAAAAGTGCACATGAATGTGAAGCATCTTGATTTTCAGCTTATTTTCTTGTATTTATTAAGCGTTTTGTTGGAGTACTGGGGGTCTCCAAAGACAATTGTGTCCTGGAGTCTTGCAAGATTATGATCCATCCAAGAGTACATTTAAAATTGTAGGTGCTAATGCAGCACTAATGCAGTTCTACCGTAATCTAATCATAATCTAAAGGGAAGTAGTTGGGGAACATAATTAATTGCACTACATCTTTTATTAAATATTTTTAATATATGCTAAATTGATATATTGCAGTTATAAAGTTGCATTGAATCTATAGTTCTTCTCATGACTTCAGATTCTTTATTTTATTTTATGACTTTAGTTATGAAAAAGTATAAATTTGCCCTAAAGGACTATATTGTACCTTTGAGGTTGCATCTACATTGTTTATACCTTGAGGAACTAACATGTACCTGGACAGTACCTTGTTTTCTAACAGTGTCGGGAAATAAACATACAAATACTGAAGGTGGTCTGTGAAGTACACACTTAAAAAAATGGTTCTCTAGTAAAGGCACTGGTTCTATTTAGAACCATGAGTTCTATTTAGAGCCATCTCCTGCTGGTGGTTTGCATGGTGCAGTGGTTCTTCAGAGTGTGTTGTAGGCTAAATGGTTCTACATAGGACCTTTTTGAAAACGGTTCTATGTAGCACCAAACAGGGTTCTTCTATTGTTGCAAGCTTGACATCATAACAGTGGAAGAACCTTTTTGGTGCTACATAAAACCATATACAACACATTCTTGATCAATCTGAAGAACAATTTAATTTCAAGCATTAAGTGATTGTATATGGAACTCATGGTTCTAAATGGAACAATTGCCTTTACTGAAGAACCCTTGCAGAACCATCTTTTTTAAGTATGTAAGGTCCAGTGGCTCGAGAAAAAGTGAATTTTCATTGCACTCTTCACGGAGTTGAAAGCCTTTATTAGTCAATAACGTATGAAACAGATTTTTTAGTCGTAGTTTAGTGTTAATAAAGGCTTTTTAAGATATATCCGTGAAGAATACCACGGATATTTATTGTTTAATTAATTTCACTTAAAATCGAGATCTCGTCTCTCCACTCTCATTCTGCTCGCTCTCCCTCTTCGCGTCCTCAGGCTCCATCTGCTGGCGAGGCTCCGTCATTGCCGCCGCCTGACAGACTTGGCTGGAGCAGCCCGGCCGGCGTCTCCGGCAGTGCTGCGCTCTTATCTCGGCCTCCACGTTTTGGCGTGTCGGTAGACGCTAACAAACAGCATTGTCCGCGCACGAGCCCGCCGACAGGAGTGTTTACACGCGAGGGGGGAGGTGGGATGTGGCGGGTATATAAGGGCCTGCTGGAGGCGTGTGTGCATGTGTTGTGTGGAGTTGAACGCACTGGCTCTCGTTGATCTCAGAGAGCGCAGCAGCAGAAGGAGCGCAACTTTACTGCAAACTCACAAACTTCTCCTGCGTTCAGACACAAATTGGACTAATAATCAGAGAAACCGACCTCATTTCTGCATAATGGAGTTGCGGATTATTTTCCCCGTGTTGTCCGTGCTTTCTTCTGGCATCTTTCACACAGGTAATGAGTTCACCTTTACTCTGCTTCTGGTGTTATTTGTGTGAGGAAATGTGTTTAAAGGCAAAAAGGGGTAAAAGTACACTAAGTATGGAACTTTACAGGAAAATAAAAAGATGTGGACGCGTTCAGATTTTACTAGGTACTTTTAAAAGGTCCATTTTTGCGAGAAGTGTGCTGGAATTTGGACTTACTTGATTCAAGTGTCTACATTATGTCCACACTAATAACAGTAAATTCGCAGCATCAGGCTTTCATGTAAGGTCTGTTAACCCTACGAAATGTCTGATTTACTTTACATGGAAACGATCTCACAGTTGAGTTCACATTTGAATTAATAATTGAATCAATAATTGAATTCAGTTCGGTTTTTGTTGTTTTGGTAGTTTTGTCGTGTTATGTTTAAATGTTAGTGTATATGTAGTAGCCTGTCATGACATAGAGATGATATTCAGCGTGTTTCATCTGGTCCTCTTTCCACTTCTTTCTGCAGCTGCTCTGCCGGCTCGGTCTCTGACCGAAGGTGCGGCGACTCCCGGCCCCGCGCGCCACTCCAGGACCAAGCGCTGCTCGTGCGCCAGTTTCCTGGACAAAGAGTGCGTGTACTTCTGCCACCTGGACATCATCTGGGTGAACACTCCAGAGTGAGTAGGACCACCGATCTTTATTTAGAGACCCCTATTTACAGCCTCTCTGCTTTAACCCGAGCCATGTGGTCTGATGTGAGAAAATGTTTGCCCCCTCTTTCAGGCGCACAGTGTCGTACGGGCTGGGCAACGCGCCGCGCAGGAAGCGCTCTGCGGCACGACCGGCCAGCAACGACCCCGCGCGCTGCAGGTGTGCGGACAGCATGGATGGCGCGTGTGCCTCATTCTGCCACACGGACTACCCGGCTCGGTAAAGACCTGCACTACTTTACTTTCACTTCCACTCACTTTCTGAGGTCAACCTGCTTCATGGCTCTTCTGTGTAGATGTACAGTTACAGACTGTAGCTCATTTGTTTTCATGCACAATTTCTCGGCCATTCTTTACTCCCTTCATCACTGGTCAGTTTCTGACTATAAGACCACTGTTGTCCAGATATTATTTGGGTGGTGGACCATTCTGAACATAGCATAGATGTAGTTGGTGCCACACTGAATGTATCAGACACAGAAGTGCTCTTGGGGTTTTTAGACACATTAGTGTCTCTGCTAAGTTAAGAGTGGCTCATCCCCTGGTCAGCAGTGGCTCTGTGGTCAGTAACAGAAAACCAACTGACCATGAAGTGCTGTTTGTGTATATATAACACAAACCGTGCACCAACAGATGGGCTACAGTCTCTGAACTCAGCTGAGCTGGACCAACAAGACACACTGTTGAAATGCACTCATTGTTGAACTGCCTTCAACTCTAAGCTTTGGTCAGTAACGCACGTAAAGACGTGCAGTATTCATGCACGCAGCCAGAATAACTGAAGGTGCGAGACTCGACAGACTTGCATGAACAAGTTTGGGTTCTATTTATGCGGAGTGTTTCCAGCCCTTGTGAGTGATTTCACGAAACTGAAGGTGCGTCTTGTGTTTCTGACATGTGCGCTTTCTCTCTTTCTCTCTTAAGGCGTAAGGCAGCGCCTGACAAGGTGATCCCTACTGCCTGCGGCCACGACTGTGCCAAGAAGCAGCGCAAACACGACGTGGCAGCCCAGACACGGAGTATGAAAAGGTGAGAGAAAGCAAGAAAAAATTACTAGCATAGCTGTGCAAAATAATTGGGCGGTGTGATTATAACCTGCTGTAAGATGGATGGCTTTTCTTAGGAATGCGCAATTCACCTCATTGTGGTTGACAAGGTAGATAGTGAGAGACAGTTTTTCAAAGGTTAGAATATGATGAAAGAGAGTTTCCACTGGAGATGTATGTATAGATTATGAGTATGTACTGTGATAGAATTCCCCTTTGTTGTCTGACTACTGAGGAAGGCATTTATTATGAAGTATGAGGAAGAGGCCATAGAGCATTTTTCTTTAGCTCAGGTCATTATGTTGCTCAGAACAAGCCCCAGAGTCTCAGATATAATTTGCCATCTAATCAAGCTGAACAGCCTTCATCAGTGGTCAGCTCATTATAACCAACAGAAACATCATCATCAACCAATAAAAGAGTCTACCTGAATGAAACTGAATATCTGAAGGCTCACCTGGTTTCTTTCTTTGTATGCAGGGTCCATAAGAGTGCTGTACCCTCTCTGACCACCAAGCAGATTCGGCTTCTCCTGGAGAAATGGAGGTTCAGACGGTTCCACAAGGCACAAGCTTGGGTTGCTGAAAATACCATGTCTTAGAGGCAGGAGTGAGGTCCTCAACTTGCCATGCAAGACTCAGCAAGGGGTTCCAAAGCTAAGGGACTGTTCTCCCCAAGCTGCTGATGATGCCTTGCAGTCCATGAGGTATGATGGGACCTTCTCCCAGAGACCCTGCAAATGTGACTGCCTGAGTCGTAGTGTTTGCAGAGTAGCCTACAGAGCTGAGAAGCTGTGGCATGCAAACATTGCATGCTGACACTTTTTAGGCATCATGTATTAGGAGAGAAACCACCTGCCGCTGTAACATCCAGTGGAAAACAACATCAAAATGAAGATATGAACCTGGAGGGCACTGGAAAACTCAAGAAACCAAGAATTTCTTCATGAGTTTAAAGTCATATGTGGGAGAACCAGCTCTTGGACACTTTTATGTTTTTGAATTGGGACTTCAGCAGGGACACTCAAGTGCTGCATCAATAACCAAAGTCAACTCAAGACATCCCTGTAGTAATCGCACAAAAGTAGCATGTCACGATGAAACATAATGTTACACCTGGAGAAATAGAGTCAGAGCGAATTACTGGGTGTGGCATGATGTTATTCCAGAAGCACCCTGTGACCTTCACTGATAGGGCTTTTGTTTCGATGTAATACTGGATATCTTCCTTATCATGTCTGACATGTTCACTTCTGTCTACATGCTGTATAATGACTTCGCTCTGAATATATAATCAATGCAAATGGATATTTATTGAAATATTTAGGTTAAAGAACGTATTTATTATCAAGCCATATTGGCCCGCCTTTTCGACTGTTATTATATTTCTATGAAATGCTATCACTTTAAAGCCACTCTTGTGGTCTGCATTGTAGGAAATAAATAATTAACTTTATTTATAATATCATTTCTGTTGTCTGTCTCTTATTTGGTTGTGCTCACATTTTGTCATGTCATTTTTTCTCTGTCGCTAATACTAAGTAGTCACTGCTTCTGAAGCTGTAAGTGAGGCAGTAGAATATGATTAGGTTGGTTTGAGATTCATCTATTTGAATGGTATGCTATTAAGATAGGAGTTTAACTGATTATGACACAGGTTTCACAGTGAAATGAAATGAAAAATGTCAAATTAAGCAGTAAAACCAACACAAAAGAAACAATGATTTGCTGTGATGGTTTATGGTTTTCTCACACTGAGCAGTCCAAGGTTTTTTCAGGGCTGCTGTACATGAGTTGGTGGAAAATCAGGACACAACACCAGGAAACAATGGAAGATGCCCACCTAGGAACTGACCTAAGAGCCCTCCAGCTCTTGTATGTTTCTCTAGTATGTTGATAGCTCCAGCTACGGCCTCTGTTAGTGAACGCCTGCTAATATCAAAGTCAGTAGGGGCATCAGTGTCAGTTATCAGTGTGCTTGTATATTCAATGCACATTCATAACTGGAACCATCCCCAGATATTCACTGTGTTTTTTCAGTCATAGAGGGCTTGAAAAAAATATATGCACAGCAGGGAATTTGGAACCGATCTTCTAAAATGATGGCTTGGTTCTGGACATTGGAGGTTAAATACCCTCTGACAGAATGCTGAATCCAGGCACAAAGGCCTTCTCCTAGCGTGCTATGCATGGGAGTCTCCAAGGACCTTGGCGCTGGCGTAAGTCATTAGAGCTTGAATAGGAGCTGAGCACACATAATAGCCCATTACACTGCAAGGAATCTCCTCAACTCGACAGGAATTCAGCTCGCAAGGGGAGAACAATGGGTGAAGCTCTGGGAGGGGCAAGCAGGCTTCTGCTTTCTGACGTCCCTGAATGCTGCCACCACACACCACCGCCCCAAGCTACCTTCTTGCTCTTGCGCGCACACACACTCTCTCAACAACTCACACCGCACTAAGCAATCAGACGATGCCTGAGAGCAGAGACGGCTTAAATTCCAGGGTCCTCTCGAGGGTAATATCACGCAAGCTTCACCGGAGCCAGAAGTGATGAGGCAGCTATTGTTTGAACACGTAAAATGAGAGACACGCCAACCAACTTTCTGATCAAGGCTTGTTTCAAAAGCTTCTGAAGTCAGTGGTTTCCAGTCTTGAGCCTGGAGTACCCCTGCTCTGTACATTTACTTTTTTCTCTACTTCAACACATCTGATTCAATTTAGGAAGGGCTCGTTAATTAGCACATTAGGTGGATCAGGCATGTTAGAGCAGGAAAACAACTGAAATATGCAGGACCAGGGCTGGGAAGTCATTCAGAGTGGTTTGATGAGAAATGGTTCATTGTAGAGAAACCTACTGACTTGGATTTCTTCACAGTGGTGGGGACAGAAACCAGGGATCACGATGCCTACAGTGCAAAAGTAAACATGTTATGTACTATCCAACATGACCAGTGAACCTACTAGTGTCTACAGAGCATGCAGTTGAATGGAGTAGGTACATTTCTTTACAGTGGACCATTTTGCATCTATCAGTCTGAATCTCAACAATCGATTCATGTGAAAATATTGAAAAAATGTGGAATTTCCCTTTAACAAGACTTTATACATTAAGAACATTTGCATTTTTCCTTATATGTAATGTTGATAATGATAAAATAGTGGTAAAACTGAGAAAAGAAGTTTTCTTCGGGGACTATTTTGCCTTACAGCACACTGCATGTATTTAAAAAATGCATTCCTTTAGACATTAAAGTAAATCAGATGTCTGGTTCCTATTACCACCACTGTGTACAATTCTGACTCAGCAAGTTTCTCTAGAATGGAACATTTCATGTCAAATCACTCTCATTGACTTTGTTTACATCTTAACCATTTAATCATGCAGTTTTGAATTTCAAATTTGAATTCCCCTTGACACCTCATGACTACATTTTCCATTTAATTTTGTCCTGTTGCCCTTTACATTGTGTGAATATTTCATGAAGAATGGTCTAAAGGAAATTAAGTCCAAAATTTCCTCAGATAAAATCGTGTTACAGGAACTTAAAGGTGAATTCCACCCATTTTTTTTAAATCATCAATCAAGAAATTTACAGAGTCAGGAATGTTCACAGTGGTTGTGATAGGAACCAGATGTCAGAAGAGTTTAATGTCTCTAACAGTCTCTAGCACTTTTGAAATATGGTATTAGCCTAAAACATAGATATTTTTTTAATTAATCCATGTATGGCATTGTGATGCAAAATAGGGAAACTTTTTTAGACTATTTTACCATTGTCAACATTACATATAAAACCTCCCTGGTCATCTTAAATAATAAATAAAATGGCTGCATTTGTGTTGTAGACATTGTGACTCCTGGTTCCCATCACCACCACTATAAACATGTTGGAGTTAGTAAATTTATCTACAACAAACCATTTCACATCTGTCCAGTGTAAATGGCTTTGTTAACAGCTCAACAATTGATTAAATTGGTTTGTGCATTAACTTATGTCTTATTGACTTGTAAAGACTGGTTAGGCAGGTCAAACACTGTCATTAGGAATTGTCAGCTGATGACAGCTCCAGAGCATAATATATTTTCTGATTCTTCAAACCTTGTTCCAACAGTCAACAACCATGGGCTCTTCTAATAAGCTGACTAAGGTTCTGAAAATGAAGTTAAATGATGTCTAAAAAGCAAGTGAAGGCTGTAAAAAGACCTCAAAGCACTTCCAGCTTGCAATTTTCACTGTCTGAAATGTCATTAAGAAATGGCAGTTAAGGGGAACTGTGGAAATCGTGACAAGATCTAGAAGAAGACCAAGAAACTGATAAAGTAAAAATGGAACTCTGTCCACTATCACCTAATGAGCAATCAGCAAGTTCTAAAAACAAATGTGATATAGTCAGTCAAGAAACTGAAGCTGAATAGAGGCTAGCCTCTACAACAGGACAATGATCCAAACATACCTCAAAATCCACCATGAACTACTATATATATATATAGCTGTATGCAAATGGTTGGGGACTTTGGCCAAATGGCATATATATATATATATATATATATATATATATATATATATATATATATATATATATATATAATTTATTTATCTTTTTCCTGCAGATTCCACTAAATCACTACAAATCAGCAAATTCTATACATATAGGTATAGGAAAGCTTCCTGGCCTCAGTAATTAATCTGCTTCTGCCTGCTCACCTAGCTATGGGTGCTGACATACTTTTCATAGGGCCAATTATGGGAATCTGCACAGGTATCATTCAACACACTGTCTGTGCACCCTAATCCCCTCTCAGCAGCATGCACACACACACAAATACATGCACGCACACTCTCCGCTAAGCCTCTAGTCATCTCCATCGGCAGTAAAACATACACTAAAAGCTATTATGGAATATCCCTCAAAACATTTTCAGAATTCCACCTTGACAGATGGTATTCTGAGAAGGCCTAATGAGCACAGGCCTTCAAAATACTGCGCTGCCCTCAAATGAGAGTTCAGACATAGGGCAACAATTAAGAGCGCTAATAAGAAGCTCCTTAAATAGGGTTAATTTCGAACAAATAAGTCAAATGTGACCTGCAAAGTAAATATCAGTGCACTGTTAGGCTGTCTACAAAGTTTTACTTGATCAGCTTCATGGTTTTAAAAGCAGTGCAGCCTCATATAATAATACTGTCCCAAAAGGAAGTTTTAGAAACATATCTATCACTGTTTTCTATTTCTACTGAAAGGAGCGCCATCAGAATTGTGTTGACACACGCTGAGGCTCATTGTTGAATATTGATATGGCCCTATCTCAAGAAAGCCTTAACGTCAGAGCTGTTAACAACAAGCCATCTAAAATCTGTATTTAGATCAAGAGCTTCAAGTCTACACCTCTTGAGAGGCATATGAGTAATCTATCAAGATATGTCAAGAGTTAAGGAGGGGAAAAACATATACAAGAAGCAAATATGATCTAGCACGCATGCGAACCCTCTTTGATGTTCAGTAGGTCCAGTGTCAAAGTTCCTTTGCTTGCATTGCTAAGCAGATGTAGGTTCAGTTCTGTTCCTGTAATCCTCAGTGCCTTCAAAAGTGAGAGAAAAAAATATAAAACATTTATCATTTGAGAAAAAAAAAGTGCTGTGGTGTCATAACCCCTTAAATGGCCAGGGCCCACCAGCATGCCCAAAGTTTACACACTTCTATAACCTAAGAACAGCTCAACCAGTTTCCACTGAAGTCCCTAACCCTTAGTATGTAATAAGCTTGGGATTTTAGGGGGTTAAGATCTCAGTTCAAACCTCACAAAAATGTTTTCTGTTCTAGCTCCACACACTGCTGAGCTAAGTAAAACAGTAATATTCTGCCTATGATGTAAAAGATCCAATACTAAAATTGCAACCTTTCCTAGGAACCTCATGTAATGTACCAACAGTCATTTGTATAATTAATTCATGTGACTAGTAAATAAATGAAAAAAGATTCACCTGTGAGTCAATGGTTTTACCTCAGAATTCACTCTTTAAGCGGGAAATCACACCACATCATGCCATGAATCAGATGTCAGCAGCAAATTCCAGCGTATACTGTAGCACATCTTTGCCTGTATTCAGCTAGGTCAACACACCCATAGCTTTAAGGGTGCCCATTATTCTCCCTGTTACCATTGTATAGAGCTCAACAGTATTATGTCCAGCTGTGGAAGGTCATTTAGAAGAAATGTCCATCACATTATCAGGGCATGACCACTGAACCTAGTCAATAAGAATCCACCCAATATGAGCTCAGCATAATCTAATCACTCATTTCATATTAAGAAAAGGGAGGACAAATAAATTATGATTTGGTGAGTCAGACTTAGATTTCTGGCTTAGTAAAGAGTAAGAAGTAAAAAACAGATCAACAAGGAACTTCTCATTGTTTGTCAGTGTTAGGGAATGTAGATAAATCAGCCACAACTAATTCATAA